TCATGAACGAATGACACAAGATAACGCAAGAACAAAGGAGTGAAAAAAGCCGATTTTTTGAGCGGGTTCTACGCCATCTTGTTTCACTGGAAAAATTAATTAAATTAAAATTAATCAAAATTATTGTCAGCCACTTTAAACACACAAATTAGGTAAAATTATTCACTAGAAAGCTTTCAGACATGTTGTCATGTTGAATTAACTCTTCTTTAGTTAAAGAAATGTGCAAAATATTGGCGCTAGTGATGTAAACAAAAGTTCAGGTGGCGAACCCGCTTTTTGCTGTCACTTTTTCTCAAAACCAAAATACAACGTCGCGTTCTTGTGATCCCGATCATTGCCCAAAGAAACACAGCTAATAATAGAACCGATCATGAACGAAAGACACAAGATCACGCAAAAACAAGAAAGTGAAAAAAGTCGATTTTTTGAGCGGGAAAACGAAAGAAAAGTAAACAAAGCAAAGAAAAAACGAAAACCAAAATTAATGTAGATGAATAATCGAAAAAAACTAGTGCAGACACCGATTGGAATGAGTGGAACGTGATTTTTCAAAATATTGGCTCTTGTGATGTAAACAAATGCTCAGGTGGCGAACCCGCCTTTTCGCTTTCACTTTTTCTCAAAACCCAAATACAACGTCGCGTTCTTGTGTGGTCTTGTATTTTTGGTTGATGGGATCATATCGATGTTGTTGCATTTTTTGCCAAGTGCCAAGTTTTTATCCGGATCCCGATCATTGCCCAAGGAAACACAGCTAATAATAGAACCGATCATGAACGAAAGACACAAGATCACGCAAAAACCAGAAAGTGAAAAAAGTCGATTTTTTGAGCGGGAAAACGTAAGAAAAGTAAACAAAGCAAAGAAAAAAACGAAAACCAAAATTAATGTCAGCCACTTTAGGCATACAATTAAGGTAAAATTATTCATTAAAACGCTTTGGAATGTGTTGTCATGTTGATTTAACTCTTCTTCAGTTAAATAAAAGTGTAAAATAGTGGTGCTTGTGATGTTAACAAACGCTCAGCTGACGAACCCGCTTTCGCAAACTTTTTTCTCAAAATCAGTTACAACTACAAAGGTCAACTCAAGGCGAATTTATAAAAGGTGGTGTTCAAGGCGAATTTATACAAGGTGGTGTTGATGGCGAATTTAGATTTTCGCTGGGGTTCTTCTTAATGTCAAAATGATGTGTTTGTTGCAATATGAATTTGCCTTGTTTACAACAAACACGTCATTTTGACTTTAGGAAGTACCGCGGCGAAAATCTAAATTCGCCAGT